TTGTTAGTCTCCTATCGTTTTGTGAAGCATCATGAAGGTCTAGTTAGGTCACTTTCTGGAACTGGCTTGAAACTATTGCTGGATTAATACATTTTATGAACAGGTAGACAATTTTGTGAAAAATCAGGTACATATAAATGCACACAAGAATCACAGCTAAGACATCATTCAATTCACCCTCTGGTCAGTAGGGGCTGCATGAGAGTGCAAAGGCTTTTCTAGCAGCTCATATTTATCTCCAGACATTTGCATTAATGGCTTCCATTTATGGAAGTCTAAGTTAAAAGTAAAGTCACTGAAATGCTAGGATTTTTTGAAGACATATTAACAGTTTCAGTGCATCAGTATGTCATGATAAGCTTTTCTTTCTAAAAAATGTGAATACAAAGTGTCCCACATTGCACAGGAGTGTGATATGCAATGCTGTGAATCCATGGAGTTTCTACAGCTTGTGTTAAAATCTGGAAGTCAATCTCCCTCTGTATATCTAGTATTATGACAGACCTTGCTTAGGCCTCAGGCTGTATGGCTGAGCTAGTAATTGCTCCACAAAAGACAGTTAACAGTTCCCTTGCTCTTCTCTAACTACCTTCCTGACTGCTTATTGAAGTCTGATTTCTTACTCCTCTGGGTCATCATTCATCAGTCCTAGAAATCCCATTGGGAGAGACCGACGAGACCTTTCCATATCCCTTGTTACCAGGGGCCATTTCTGATGGCCCATGATATAGAAAATGTCTTCACAGCAACCCAGTGGGACAAGCTATGGTTATAATACCCAAATAATCATTTCACAAATTATCATAATTATCAATCAATCATCCTGTTGGAACAATGTGTTTTTAAAGTATCAGATGGTTTCTGTGACCTGTAGCATTTTGTACATCATAATAAACCTGGAGAGATTTATGGATAAGTTCTGGTGAATGTTTGTAGCAACAAAACTTTGTTCATTTTTAATTTTATTAAACTAAAAAGCTTTCCATTACAATATCACTCTTTTTATCTCAGTAGACCAAGGTTTCTAAGCTCATGCAGCTTTTGATAGTCTTGAACATGCTAACGTTATTTAGGAAAAAATATAAGTTCAGCTACTTTGGGAAAAAGGTTACTCTTAGTTTATATTTTCTTCCCATCCACACTGTATTAAGAGCGTGTTACATTTTGCAATATAAAAATAAAGTGAACTAAAACAGGACAAAAGAAATTTTGTTTTATAAGATACCAGATTGAATCCAACTCTTTTAAAGCTGATACTATCTCCTACTCCTGTGTAGTACATTCTTGTTAATGGATAAATTCAAGCTCTCCAGAAAGTCAAAGAATAAATTTAAAACCTTTTGCCAAATGTCTATCCTATTGGATTTTGATAAGACGGCTATTGAGCTTTAATAATGTCTTCTATCCATTTTCATCTGGCCCTTAACATGTCTCTTTATTTGTCCCTAAAGCCTCTTCAGCGATGCCTTTTTATTACAAGTCTCTCAGCTTGCTCTCAAGGGAGACAGGGTCGACAAGAGTGATAGATAGATAACTCTATAGATTATCTCCCACAGATGTTTTCTCTCCAGTAGCCCCTTAGGCTATTCCCTCTAAGTAAACAGAAACTAAATAGAGAGTCTGCTGAAGACAGAAGTCCCTGAGGTCTCTTGTCACCACAGTTAGAAAAACAGTGCATCCAAAAGAGGCTGATTGGGAGTCCTATGCCCTGAGCTCCTCTCAGTATGATTCTCAAATGTTTGTCCGAAGTGACTTTTAAAGTTAAATACATGCAGCTTTACCCTCAGAAATAAAAACATCACAGAACAGACATTGGCATTCTTTCCTCTCTGAATACTGCACCTGACTTTTTTTTAGATGTGTTACCTGCAGTGGGGAAGTCTGGAAAATTCGGAAGAAAAAAAAGAAACCATGTGAGCTACCCTTTAAGGGTGGGGAAAAAAGGCAGCAGCAGGGAGATGCCTTTGAAAATGGTTGTGGAAGTATAACATCTGTATCTATGCCTTGGTACTACACACATTCCTGCGTGCATGCAGGCAGTGCACTAACAAAATTTGAACTGCTCCCTGAATCTAGTCAGGGAAAACCTTGCTCCCTCCCACCCCAAATAAAAGAATCAAACAAATGTTTGGTGTTTACACATATTGCCAGAATATAATTAAAGCTAATATTATGCAAATATATATAAAGCCCAGCAGTTCTGCTTGGCAAGGAGACACACGCTTATAAGTCTGAATTATTCTGTGAAAAATATGACTCTCAGAATTGGGCCCAAAACCTAAATGGGACAGATCCTGCTTATCAAAATCCTAGACCACCTGCTTCCTGTGATCCCACAGCCTTCATATATTAATAGGACACTTCTGCCTCTTGTTCCTACAGAGCCCAGTTACGCAGAGACTGTGAGAAACTGAAAAATACTAGGAAAAAGAAAAGTTTGAGTTAATTTTTATTTTACATTCATTCAAGCAAAGAGCTTTATTTATTATAGTGTAGAATAGCATCAGATATGTAAACTGCATGAACATTTTGCTGGTTTTTATATGTATATAAGAAGAGTTGAAAAGCAAAACTCTTTTTCTCCACTTGGTAATTTAACACCAAAAAAAGGATGCTGAGGTCAGATTTAAACTAAAAAAAGCTTCCTGCATCTCCTTCCCTCTATACTTCATTGCTGTCAGTCCCCACTTCTCCTCCATAGTCTCTTTTTCCAGCTCTTCTCGCTATTGTACATTTGACTTGTTCTTTTTCCTTTTTTTTTTGGTCCCTGCTACTGCCCCCTCTAGGGCCTGGGATGCAACAGCTATGCAAGTGAGCCACTTCCAAGCACTGGTACCACCCCATAGATCTCAATTCATTTTCTTAATTCGCCTTGGCCCACCCACCACATTTACCTCTGTCCTGATGGATGGCTGGTGAATGAGTCAGCCTCCCTCCCTCCCCCCTACCAGCAGGCCTCCAAAGGAACAGGAATAAAGAGAAGTCAACCTAAAAGTTTGTATCCATTGGGATATGACAATTTAATGATTCAGCAAATTCAAATACTCTAATCTTCCCCCAGTGGGTTTTTGTATCAGACTAAAAAGTACAAAGCAAAGATTACTCCTTTTAAACACATTACCCCACAGATACATGCCCACCCCCCTCCATTCCTTGATGCTACAGAAATTATAAAGGATTATTTTTCATTTTTTTTTCCTTCTGACTAAAAAGCTGTCTAGCAATAGTCCCTTCACAAGCCATTAAGTTTAGACTTGAACTCTTTACCTTACTGCTTTGACCTTTTCTACCCTGGCTGTAAAACCCTACTGCCCATCCTTCAATAAATTTATCACCTCATAAACTCCCACTACTGCTTCTCCACAATGCATTTAAAAGAAAAAGTCACAATGGCACTCCCTGAGTCAAATATCATAATTGTCCAGTTTTACATTTGCAGCTGGGGAAACATTGAAGAGGCAAGAAATGTTGCGGGGGGGGGACATGAATTTTGCCACATTTTCTTTGAAATAAACATACTGAAATTTAACTGGATATTTTTTATCATCTGAAGATAACTATTAAATGTCTCCTTGCACCCCTTGCCGTTGTGCAAAGCCTTGTTCTCTTTACGTTAATGTGGGGACCTGAAATTAATTTGGGAAATTTTAATTAAAGACTACAAGAAAGAAATAGCTGAGCAGTCCCTGGGCTATGGAGAATTTACTTCCATCTTTGTGATAAGTGGGTTATGATAATAAGAACCTGCCACCTTGTCACCATGTCTGCTCAGACAAAAGGATCCCACTGAGGCACAGACAAACACCAAATGAGTTATGGAGATGAACAAGGTAAAAAGTTCAGCACCACTGAAATAGGTCCTCTCGCAAGGTCACAGGATGGTCAGAAGACATTCCATACAGGGAAGTATGGCGTTTGAAATAAAGTTTTATTTTTCTCAACCTGGAGAGAACAGAATTGTCCATCCTGGGTACAGATGTGTCTCAATATCGGTTTCCAAGCTAATTCTGGAGCCTGCCAATGCTTATTTTTCCATGGCATTGGGCAGAGGCTTCACGACTGATTCCTTTTAACTTTCAGAGCTAAGAAATGGTATTGAAGATGGCCTTAGTGGATGAATGAAAAAGGCAGTTGTCATTTTCCAAATTAAAATATTGCGTAGTTTTTCATATCTCATTTAGAAAAATTTGACTGTTTGTCATGACATAAGGAAGGAATAAAGGCTCTCTCATTAGTCTAGTAAGGATATGTTACTCCTCTTAAAGGCGCCCTGATAGATTATAATCAAATACAACTTGTTACCTTGATAATACTGTTAACCAAGACCACCAGCAGAAACAATGCCCATTTTAGTGTGTCTGAAAATAGGCCTAACCTATATAGTAGAATGTCAACTGAAACATGCGGTGTTAGACAGACAGAGGCACTAGTAAACAGCCTAACAGGATAGAGATTTATAGAAATGGTAGCACAGCCAGGCTATGCTGGGATCATGATTCTCCCCGGTCTATTTAAAAGAATAACTGTCTCTGAAAAGGTATATTATAATTCATAAAGTTCATTGAGTATCACAAAGTGATGCAAAGCATATGTCCAGTGAAATTCTTATTCATCCATACCAACTCCCTTTGATTTCACACAACTAACATTAATAGTGAGGTCACCTCTAATGATTTAACAATTGTCAGACAAGCATTCTTCTGTGGGGTTTCTAGGTCTAGACTCTTACTTGCCTATAAGTCCAGCTGTAACTAAGAACATTCAAAGATGTACCTTTTCCTCTTCTGTAAGCACTACATTCACAAATCACATAAAAATATCCTGTTGAATGTAAGGGTACAATTCCACTTCCAGGGAAAACAGCAGCAAGTAGTGAAAACCATTCAGTGCATGCATTTTGATATAGGCCTTTATAAAAATTATTTGCAAATGAAAATGGTCATGATCCTTTTGAAGCCAAGCACTAAACACAACTTGCATCAGGTTAAACCTTTCCCTACCTTTTTTATACTGCCCTCTTGGGATGCCCCCTCAGGATCAGTCAGCATCTGCTGTGAAAAGAGAAAAAAAATGCACAAACTAGGTAAATTTGCAGGTACAGGAAAATTAATAGATATGAAAGTCCAGCGCTCTCAAATCCAACAAACCAGATAAATGATCCAAAAATTATATAGAATATATATACACCAATACTACCACTATAATACTATCCGCACTAAACTTTACCTACCATTTTGGTTTGGGACTCCTCTTCTACAATTAAATCAATCCAAAGTTGATGAGTAGTTTACACTGCAGCATGAAGCCCCTGGTCACCCAAAGCATGTAAACCTATATTTACATCCTTAAGTTTAAATGTGTGCAAACCCCACTGACGTTAATAACTAACCAGAGAACTATTAGGAAAATTCTGCTTGTTCAGAATATATCTGGCTAGTGCCAAGAATCCACTAGTATCTGAGATTCTAAGCTGTGTCATTTCAATAGAACAAAAGTTTTGTGGTTTTTTTTAACTTTTATTTTCCCCTCTCTGCACACCAGTGACAACCAGGGGCCAAAAGAAATCTTCCCATCATTTGGTTTCTGGGGCTTAATATCCACAGAGTGCTTAACCACAAGTTAGTTCAGGTAGGCCAGGCACCAAAATTGCATATAATACTCTACAGAACCATCATGATAGACATGGGTGCTGCACTTGGGCAGTAGGAACCAGCAGCACACTTATACAATGGGGAACTCCTTACTCGAGAGCACGGAGGCAGAAAGGGATCTTGGAGTCATTATTGACTCCAAGATGAACATGGGCCGACAATGCGAGGTCATGGTTGGCAGGGCTAACCGGACCTTGTCGTGCATCCACAGGTGCATCTCGAGTAGAGCCAAGGAGGTGATCCTCCCCCTCTATGCGACGCTGGTCAGGCCACAGCTGGAGTATTGTGTCCAGTTCTGTGCGCCCCATTTCAAGAGGGATGTGGACAATATGGAGAGGGTCCAGAGGAGGGCCACCCGCATGATCCAGGGACAACAGGGCAGACTCTACAGTGAGAGACTGCGGGACCTGAACCTATTCAGCCTCCACAAGAGAAGGCTAAGGGGGGACCTGGTGACTGTCTATAGACTCACTAGGGGGGACCAGAAGGGTTTGGGGGAGACGCTGTTTCCCCTAGCGCCCGCTGGCATAACAAGGAGTAATGGGCACAAGCTGATGGAGAGGAGGTATAGATTGGACATCCGCAAAAACTACTTCACGGTTAGGGCGGCTAGGAGCTGGAACCAACTTCCAAGGGAAGTGGTGCTGGCCCCTACCCTGGGGGTCTTTAAGAAGAGGCTGGATGCCTACCTGGCTGGACTCGTTTGAGTCCCATTTCTCTTTTTGGGGTTTTTTGTTGTTCTCCCGCCCTGGCGGGGGGTCGGGCTAGAAGATCTACTAGGTCCCTTCCGACCCTTAATCTATGAATCTATGAATCTATGATAGACATATTGTAGAAGAGCTTGCTTCAATTGCACAGCACCCAACTAACAAAGTTTTAAAGAAGTTTCAGGCTAAATACAGACAGTCAAAAAGCCTGAGTCTGAATCAATTCAAACTTTACAGGTTAGTCCAAGCTGTGTAGATTAAACTGATAAGCAAGTGAACAGACATTCATCTTAATTCTGGAAATGTAGCCACATGCCAGCAGTGGCTCAGGCCAGAAGCTGGGGGGTGCTGGAGCATGCCTCCTGCTTTGCTGGAGCAGACAACTTGGGCCAAGCTTAGCCCATCCACCCTGCTAGGGAAGGTTTTCAGGGGAGGTGCAAAGCATCCTTGGATGCTGGGAGACTGGGAGTTAACTTGAATCTAGAAGGTATCTGGGACAGAAGTTCAATAAACTGATTTAAACTAAATTAATTAAGTCTGATACTACATCCATTCAGGTTTATTCTTAAACTGGTTTCAGCCATTTTGAAAAACGGTTTATGTGCACTAAACTTCTGTTGTGTTACAAGTCTGAACTAGTTTACGATCCCTTATAATACCAGTTTATGTGTAACTTCTGTCCCTAGCCTCATTGGCTTCTATGGGAGCACCGAGGGTATTTTTTTCATGTGTTCCTCACGCACCACCGGGTGCTTTTAATTAGCGCTAATTAAAAGTGCCCGGTGTTGCATCAGAACCAGGTCTATCAGTGGTGCTGCATGCATCTGCACTAAGAAAATGGTAGCAGTGCGCTCTGAACTAAAGCACATTGCACATGCTTTAGTTCAAAGTGCACCACCACCATTTTTTCAGTGCTGATGCACACTGCTGATACATGCGACATGCGAGCCTACCAGCACATGTCAATTTATGTGCTTGAGCAGACTCAATTAAATTTCCAGCACATGGGAGCAGACTCCCTGCATGTGGGTAAGTGCCCTCATACATATAAAATTTTATATATGTTTTAGTGATGGATTGGGGCTAATGTACTCAAAGCCCAGTCACCCTGGGCCCTAAATGCAGTGTTAGAGCCCCCTTTGGCCATCAATTATCAAAAATAAAATGACACATTTTAAAGAACCATTTTCCATTTTTTCCTACTTGAAAAGAAAAAGAAATGGCCCCATCCTTGGCCAGGGTAAGTTGGCTCATCTCTGATAAAGTCAACAAAGCAATGTTAATGCCACATGAGGATTTGGCCCCAAATCACCAGGTTACTGTGACCCCGTCCAGGTGAGACTCACCAACTCACTTAATTAAAATATGTGGGCAAACATGTTTGAGCTCAGCTGTAACAACATGCTGTATTTTAAATACTGAGAATTCTAACCCATTCTCTATTTTATGCTGTTTTTAATAGACACTGAAACTGTGGTTTAGAAAGTAGCTAAAAGCAAACAGGAGTAGGAGGTGAATGCCAGAGCAATAACGACAATATATATTTTTTTTAAATGAAGAGAAAGCAGCACGGAATGCAAAAAGCTAAAGTTTGTCATGTTACTACTGCAAGGAGATGCCATTAAGCTGTTGGGAAAGACCTCATTTTTCAAGGTTCTGAGCAGTCACACGTCCCATTAATGCTACTGGGGACTAATGGGCCTCAGCAGCCTTTGGGAAGCACACCACTAAATTGTACTTCCGTTTGATCACTGGTACTGTAGTCTAAATACAATACACAAGGGATGTGCAAAACAGGCCCTACTCGATTCAGATTCAGCCTGAATCAGGGACAGTGATTCGATTCGTTGATTCGAATCACTGTCTCTGATTCGATTTGGCCAAATCCAAATCTGAAGATTCGATGCTGATTTAGAGAATGAGCAATTCAGACACAGACACAGCTTTAAATGTTTTTTCAACATACCTCGAGGTACCAGGCACGGCTTGTGAACGCTGCAATGCTGGGGCTCATGGAGCACCCCACAGGAGTGTCAGGGGGGCCCTCCACATGCTCAGCAATGAACCCAGAAGTGGACCAGAAGTGGGGGGACGTGGTCCCCCTGCGGTTCTGTGGCTCACTCCATGCACCCCAGCATCACAGCACTCACGAGCCCCCGCTACCTAGAGGTATGTAGAAAAAACATTTAAAGCTGTCTCTATGTCTGAATCGCTGAATCTTTCCAAATCTCTCCGATTCGATTTGGAGAGATTAAAGGGTCCTCTGATTTGATTCCAGTTCAGAGATTCAGCCACTGAATCTGGGCAAATGGAATCAGGGACCGAAGCTTTGCACAGCCTTACAATATACCTATGGTGGGAGCATTGATTTGTATTTGGGACACATTGATAACATCAAGTGAAGAAGCTCAATATTAACTATGGACTCTTAGGGCTTTGCAGTTCCTCAGCCTATGGCAGGGAACTTCCTGGACTTTGGCAGACTCTCTTAATTACTTCTAGTTCCCCCAGAACAGTCTGGGTAGGCCTCAGGAGGCCAGGTAGTACCTTTTGTTTTGCAAGGGTTATGCAGAAAGATATACTGGCCTTTCCAAAATGTTTATTTAGGGAGGGGAAGGAGGGGGTCAGAATTTCCTTTCTGCAGGAAATTTCTAGTTTTCCTCATGGTTTGGAGTTTCTCAGGAAATACTGACCAGTTCTAGTTACAAGACTTCCTTTGTCTAAGCTGCGTAACCACTTAGGGATAGGCCATGTCAACTCACTAAACGTTCACTCAAAGAGTGAACCTTGATGTATGCGCTACAGGGAAACAAACAAAAAATAAGACATTCAATAAGAGGGGGAAAAAAGAAAGACTCATAAGTGATGTTTATTAATAAGAATAACAAAAACACTTTGAAAAGCTATCCATTAGGTAATTCTAGCTCAGGCTGCACTTTGTCTCACGTGAATGCCATAATACTAAGTGTAAGGCTTGACATGCTCAGTGGGCTTGGATTCTGCCATTAACACAGATGTTCTTAAATGTACTCAAAATTTACACCATATGCTCCTTCTTTCAACTGATATGTTGTTTTTAGCCAAAAGAAAGACAACATGTCAGCAGCAGCCATGTCAGTGAAACTTTTGTTTTAGGAATCTGGTGGGAAGTATCTCCTCCAATTGTTGATGAACCTCTTTGGATTTCATTCCCTGGATTCAGAGAACTGGTGGCAGCAGAATCCCTGACTGTTACATTAGTTAGGGATGTGCTATAATTTTTGCAAAGCCTCCCGAATGTATACTAAACATGTCAAGTAACACCATGTGATTCTTTTTGAAAAACAGTTTACAAGCTGGCATTCTCCAGCTGCAGTTAACCCTAATTTGATTACATTACCGAGACAGATCACAATGAGCTTATGTAAATAGTAATGTTATCCATTCATTCCGTGAGCTCAGATAAACTGTCATTTAAAAAAAAAAAAAAAGGCATGGTTTGATGGGCTCAGCAAGCTCAGAGGTGAAAAAGTTATTTGATAGGCCAAGCCCTACTCTATAATGTCACTGGGAATCCTGGCTTTATTGAAATTAGGCCAGATTTACACGACTGTAATTGAGAGTAGAATTTGTTCAAAAGAGGAGAATAGAGTTGGCATGCAGCGAATCATGCTTCCTCTCAATTATTTTTCTTTATCATCATCACTGGCTCTT